CAAAGGTCTGTGAGCTGAAATTGCTTCACCATAAAACGGGGGTATTATTAACCCTTAACTTTTAAGGGGCGAGAATCCAATGAGATGCCCGGTAGAGCTAGATGGTAGGTGGTAGCTAATAGTAGGTGTTTGGTAGCTAATAGGATGTAGGTGGTAGCTAATAGGATGTAGGTGGTAGCTAATAGGATGGCGCTCAGGTTCTGTGATTCCGTGATGGAGGCCCATATGGGGAGCCGCTAAAACATCACGGGACACAGAGCATCAAAGAAGGGAAAGCAATCAGATAGCTTCCCTTCTCTGAGGCCCACCGATGCTAAACGCGACACGCCTGCCCGCGGTCCTTCTGCCCACCTTGCGCCCGGGCTGCACGCGGAGGACGTTTCCATCCCGGCCGCCGTGAGCTCTCCGCCTCTGACCCCCCCAGGCCGGGCTCGGGGGCCTGGGCTCTGGTGTGGGAGGCGCTTTCTCCTCCTCTGCTAGGTCTTCCTGGCCCGGAGGGGGCCACAGAACGTCCGAGGAGACCTCGGCCTGGAGTGTGGGCGACTGGTCCTCCCCCTCCCCTCCCCAGCGGGACAAAGACCCGGCCTTCCCCATTCTTCCTGCCATCGGCAGGCTCACTTGGTGGCAGAGGGGCCGCGGGGGCCGCGGGGGCCGCGGAGAGACGCCCCCCTCCGCAACCCCCGTCCTCGGTGCGCCTCCCACTCCTCAGGACCCGGTAAGTGGCCGCCCCTCCGCCGCGCTCCCCCGCACCTCCCCGGCCGGGCCGCCGCGCGCTCGGGACCCGGCGGGAGTCCCGGAGCCGGCGCCCGCGACGCCGCAGGACGGAGGAAACGCCCGCGGCAAACAAAGGGCCGGGGTCCCCAGCGCCGCCCCGGAGCCCAGGGGCGCTCGCCCGCCCGGCAGCGCCGCCCGCGCCGCCCAGCGAGCGTCTCCTTATTTGGTCAAATGACACGCGGGGTTCTCCGGGCGGGGCGCGCCTCTCCCCGGGCCCAGCCGCCCGGACCTCCGCTGCCGTCCGCCGTCCGCGAGAAGCCGCGCGGTGAGTGCGCTCCAGCCGGGCTAGGGCCAGGGGGCCGGCAGTGGGGGCCGGGGAACAGGGGGGCCGGGGGCAGAAGAAGACCTGGGGTCGGGGGAGCCTGGGCGGAGGGGGACCCCGGGGCAGGGGAACCGGGGGCGGTGGGGGCATCTGGGGAGGGGGTGCTGGGCAGTGGGGGGACATGGGGACAGGAGAGCTGGGCCACGGGGACACCCCGGGGGTACCTTGGGTGGGAGGGACCCCGCCCCAAAATTGAACTACTGAACCACCAGGGTTAAAAAAAAAAAAGGGCTTGTTTTAGACGAACACAGTAGTAATCTTAAACTGTACTTGTGTGATACCTTAACATACCTAAAATTGCAGGAAGAGAGTGTTAAATGCTTTATTGACAGATGAAGAGAGTTCTCTTTACTTTCGGATGCCCATTTGGGTTTCCGTTCCCACTAGTCTAACCAGGTTAAATGAGCTGCACTAGGGCACTTAAATCACAGCTGGGGCTCATAGCCGGGAGAGCTGTGCTCAGAACCAGTGCCGAATACTTCCCACCCCTTTGGCGCTAACCCCTGCTTGTGTGTGTTTTGTAATAATACGTTAGAGGGAGAGGCCTTGGTATCCTGAAGGTGATTTCGACTAAAAAACATTTGGGGCAAGTCTGAGAAGTACAGGGATTCCTAGGCTGCCTGTTAAACTCCTATAAAAGCAAACAGTGAAGAACATTTTATTGTGCATCTATATGAATTTTTTCACAGTGTCTTTCATCCTGAATTTTTAAGGCTTATCAGTTAATGTATAGAATGGGGTTCAGTGTTTGTTAGCCCGGCATGCCTCAGCGCTTCTGCACAGCTACATGTTCAGAGGGCCGTGTTGGCTTACCACAGGCCGGGCAGTGCCAGGTACGGTGGGGTAGGCTCAGGTACAAACGTGCCACGAGGCAGGTGTGGCAGGTAGCCCGTGTGCTTGGGCTGGAGCTAGGCTGCCTGAGCTTACGTTCCCGTCCATCAGCCCCGAGCGGTGCAGTCTTGGCCAAGTCACCTAATCTCGTGGTGCCTCAGTTTCAACAGCTGGAAAACACAGATAAGAGAGTGGCTTGCTTTGCAGGGTTGACGTGCACATCAGAAGCAGTGTATACAAATTGGATATTACCCTCGTCTTTACAGATACACTGAAGCACAGAGAGAGCAAGGTAACTTTTCTCAAGGTTTTCCAGCCTAGAAATGGGGACCCTGAGAGCTGACCCCAGGCAGCTCTTAACTTGAGAGCCTGAGTTCTAACCACTGAGCTATGGCGGATACACCCCAACACTTCAGTGAGGGCTTAGTCTGCATACTTTCACCCAAGGTTGTTGTTAAACCACTTCCAGTACTGAAAAGACTCTAAATTGTAGGCAAAAGGGCCCACCCAGCAGGATATTGAAAAAAATCATCCTGGGTTCAGGAGGTCTGGGTTCTCTTCCTGTCCAGCCCTGGGCGGGTTCCCCAGCCTCTGGGGCTCAGGCTGCCTCGTTATCAGCAGGGGGCTGGAGTAGGCAGGTAACTTACCTAAGCTGCTCTGACTCAGCGCCGGGAGATACCCAGTTCTGTGAGCTCCCATGAGCAGAAAGAGACATTGGATACTTCCTAGGTGGTTTTCTCAGGACAGCTTTATCAGAGCCACGTGGGTCCCGTGGACTTACACTGAGCCGTCACTTGCTGAAGATGGCCCCTCGAACTGAACGCACAAGCCCTTCTCTAGTGACTGAGAGCCCAGTCTTCTGGAGTCCAGGCTGGCATTGTGACTTGTCCTGACTGGTGGATTTCGGCGTTAGCTCTTGTGGTGGTTAATTTTGTGTCGACCTGACTGGGCCACCAGGCGCCGAGACACAGATGTTATTTCTGGGTGTGTCTGTGAGGTTGTTTCTCCGTGTGGTTCACATTTTAATCTGCAGCCTGGGTGCTCTTCCCAAGTGGGTGGCCTCGTCCAATCAGCTGGAGACCTGAACAGCATAAAAGGCTGAGCTGGAGCGGACTCCCCCTGCCCTGCTGTGGAGCTGGGACTCCGTCCTCTCCAGGCTCTGGTCTCAGACTGAAGCATCAGCTCATCCTGGGTCTTGAGCCTGACGGCTTTTGAGCTAGAACTTAAATCTCTGGTGCCCTGCTTCTCAGGCCTTCAGACTCAGACCAGAACCACCCAGTAGCTCTGCTGGGTCTCCAGCTCTTTAGCTGCTTGGGACTTCCAGCCTCCATAATGATATAAGCCAATTCCTAATATCAATAATAAACCTCTTCATATTATATATATATATTTCCCCTTGGTTCTGTTTGTCTGGAGAACCCTGACTACCACCGTTCCCCAGTAACTTTGCTTCCCAGTGCTGCCCACCAGCTCTCAGTCTTGTTTTTACTGAGGTTCCATCACCCCTTTCCTGCTGGTGGTCCTCACTTTCCTTTCGCTGTAAAATGTGCTTGCCCACCCTCTTGGGTCTCTGATGAGAGGTTCAGGGCAGCCTCCGGTCTGTCCATCTTTAGTCCCCTTCTCACGGGTGATTCTCACGCACTGAGTTTGGACGTCACACGTCACCCTACTCGTCCTTGGCCTTTGTCAGCCACACGTTGGCAGCCCTGATTTAGCCCGTGACTCACACATCTCCTTTAGGTGTTTCTAAGTGTCTGTGCCCACAGGAGAAGTGGCTGCCGTTTCTGCTTTTGTTTTTTATAAACTACATTTATTTATTTATGGCTGCATTGGGTCTTGGTCGCTGAGTGTGGGCTTTCTCTAGCTGCTGAGAGCGGGGGCTGCTCTTCGTTGCGGTGCGCGAGCTTCTCATTGCGGTGGCTTCTCTTGTTGTGGAGCATGTGTGGGCTTCAGTAGTTGTGGCTCGCAGGCTCTAGAGCGCAGGCTCAGTAGTTGTGGCGCACAGGCTTAGTTGCTCCGCGACATGTGGGATCTTCCCGGACCAGGGATTGAACCCGTGTCCCCTGCACTGGCAGGTGGATTCTTAACCACTGTGCCACCAGGGAAGTTCGTCTGCCTTGTTTTTATGGGTAAATAAAACCAGTGTAAAAGAGCATCCTTGAAGCCTGTAAACATTTAGGTTTCAAGAAAATAGGTCTGGGGCTTCCCTGGTGGCGCAGTGGTTGAGAGTCCGCCTGCCGATGCAGGGGACACGGGTTCATGTCCCGGTCCGGGAAGATCCCACATGCCGCGGGGCGGCTGGGCCCGTGAGCCATGGCCGCTGAGCCTGCGCGTCCGGAGCCTGTGCTCTGCAACGGGAGAGGCCACAGCAGTGAGAGGCCCGTGTACCGCAAAAAAAAAAGAAAAAAATAAAATAGGTCTGTCTATGTTTGGTGGTACAACTTTTGGAACAAATAAGAATTAGCCAACTTAGGCAGCAAGCGAAGCCAGCAGCAGGAGGTGTGCACGCCTGTTGTGCCAGGGCCCTGATGGTTGTGCTAGAGAAGCACCACGGGGAGCAGGGTTGCGAGGACAGTGAGGGGCCAGCCTCTCCTGGAAGTTGGGATCATTGCAGCCGGAGGGCCAGGCGGATGAGAGCAAATCAAACTGAGAGCTGCCTTTGGAGATGGGAGGAGACGCATGAAGGGCAGTGAGGGTTTCTCCTTTTGTTCTGTGTAAACAGACATGGATAACTGGACCACACGTTCCCGGGAAGCAGCGGGAGAGAGGGTGGGG